GGTGATTAGGCAGTATGATAAAGTTCTAGTAGGGTCCCAGGCAGTCCTAAACGGCAGACCTCAAAGACACCAATGTCCCTTAGCACTTCTTACCATGATAGTATTAAAAGAGGAGGCAGGGAGATAATTTTTTCACTTTGTAAAAACTATCCTACCGCAGGAACAAAACCTCTCTGGGGACAATAGTTAAAAAACAAAACAGGACAGTTTTCCATTTCAATGTGTTATTTTAAAAAAATACATGAAAACCTCACATACAAATGTAATATAAATAAATACTCATTGAGTGTTCATAAAAATGTTGCAGTCTTTTAAGTTATTATTGGCGAAAATCAAGTACAAGTTCCAGAATACTAAACATCAATGTTACCGCCTTGTACTAGTTCTCCCTAAGGGAATTGAGCTAAGGAACGAAGCTTGTGGGCACAGGTGCCATGAAATCACATGGTTACTGCCCAAGGGAGCAAGTCAGAGATCACATCCAGAGCATCAGCAGTTGTCACCTGAGGTAGTTTTTCAGTCCACTCGTTATTGTCTTATTGTCCCACAGTTCGATATCAATGTCAATATCAGGAGGCGATTTTGGAGCTGGAGAGAATGAAAACAAAATGTTTAAATTGTGCAACTCAAAATATTACCTGTGCCATTATGAAAATGGATTAAATCTAAGTAGGTCAAAAGAGAGAGACATTCATTTTTTAGGATGCCAACAGAATTAACTTTAGGATTGTGGTTTGTGTGAACTGGCAAAAAGCTCACTAAACCTCAAAAATATCTTGTGGAGTAATAAGTCTCCCAAATCAAATTATTACTAATTGCTAACATGACAGAACACTTCACATGTACCCAGCATGCTTCTAAGTGTTTTCCAGGGATTAACATACTCAATCCTCACAACTGTTAAAAGGCAGGAACTGTTATTATCCTCATTTTTATAAATGAGGAGGCTGAGCCACAAAGAAGTTAAGCAAATTACTCAAGGTCACAAAACTTCTAAGTGGCCAAGCTGGGATTCCAAGCCAGGCAATGACTCTAGCATCTATGCATCTCATTGTATATCTAATCAAAGGACAATCGAGAAAAAGCCTAATATTATAAAAATGTCTCCTGAAATTCTGACTATTCATCTATTATAACTGATCAAAACCTGAATATAAACATTAATTTAAAATATTATTTGAAAATACTCAAAATCAAGCAATACTGTCTATATCTCAAAGAAACCTATGGTTTATATTACCTATAAGAATATAAAAATCAATGAAGTAACTTGCTTCATTCAAAACTTACAAAATGTAGTATTCATGAGTTTTTGAACTTTGGAGTTCACTCCTCCTATTCGGTAGAGGCCTAAAATGGTGATGCCTATTGGGATGGAAAATCACAAGAAAATGGCTTGAGACACAGCTTCGCAATTACAGAATGTTAAAAACTCAGACAGGCGCCGACACAGATTGAAAGCTACTTATCCAATTTTGCAGTCGAACTTTAGCAAACCTACCCTGGAAACATCCATCAGACATATATTTCTCAGACAATGAACAGTAATTTGAAAGTCTTTGAAGATCTTCAAAGCAGCAAAGTATACCTGTCCATTCACCATTATTTGAATATAAAAAAGCATCAAAGATGGAAAGGGATGATCAGTATTCCTCATCTTCTAGTTCTTCAGTCATGGAGTCCTCCTGCATGTTGAACAGTCCTGTGGCATTTAGATCTTCATTTTAAAGGTGAGGAAACAGAGAATTCAAGGAACCTGCTTAACTTCTC